GAAGGGAAGGGAAGGGAAGGGAAGGGAAGGGAAGGGAAGGGAAGGGGGAAAAGGGGGAAGGGGAAAAGGGAGAAAAAAGGAAAGGGAAAGGGGAAGAGAAAAGGAAAGGCTGGAAGGGGAGCAGGCATGATTCCCTTAACTGGATGTGTAGTTCCTACAAGAAGCAGCCTGACCCCAGAGAATAAACTCTCCTAACAGAGACCTGTCCTTAGGGTGCTGCTGCTGCTCCTCCTCCCCTGCACACACTGCAGGTCCCTTTGACAGGATTTTGACTGCAGAAGGTTTTCCAGGTCCCAGGCGCTGGTGCTGCCCCCCAGTGTGACCCACCCCAGAGCCCTGATGGATCAGCCCCTCTCCCTGCCCCTCTCCCTGCCCCTCTCCCTGCCCCTCTCCCTGCCCCTCTCCCTTGCCCCTCCCTCACCCCACCCCAGCCCAGAGCAGCACAGGGGCTGCAGCAGCTGCTTCTCCAACCAGACATGGGAACCCTTCCAGCACTTCCACATTATGACCAGAAGAGCCAGAAGAAAACCCATTCTTCAGCCTAAATGTGCTATTTTGGACTCATGACAAGAGAAACCTTCAAAGATCCCCGGAAAGATGAGGAGCAGGACACACAAAGCACTCCTGTCCCTGATGGCCGCTGACACAGAGCCTGGCAAAAAAAGAGGTTCTTCCTCTTGTTAAAGCCAAAGGGAAGAATCACAAGGATTTCAATGGGAAAAGATCAAGCTGCAGCCAGCAGAGTGGAAAAGCAGGAGGGAAGAGCTGCTCCTGGGTCAGATAAAGAGCTGATGGGCACGAGGCTCCTTTCTGCCTCTGTCCTGCCTTCTGTAGGGAGGCTGAGCTGCTGCTGGCAGTGCTGCTCCTCAGGCCCCCGCTGGGCAGGGAGGGCTGTGGCCAAGCAGCCTGTCAGCACAATTAAACTCAATGTGGGGCACAGTTAAACTGAATATGGATGTCATTAAAAGAAAATCAGGCAGTGGAATTTGGGCTTTGTGCAAAGTTTAAAAGAATTCATATTCCTGTGTGATCTGGAGGGGGGAGGGGTCCTGGCTCTTGCTGGGATGCAGCAGCACAGACAAGCTCGGTCTGTAATGAGTCACCACATCACCACCAAATGCTGATCAGACCCTTCCCAGAGCTTTAGTGCATCTGTTTGCACAGAATCACAGAATGTGCTGAGTTGGAAGGGACCCACAGGGATCATCCAGTCCAACCCTCAGCCCTGCACAGGACCATCCCCAGCAGTCACCCCCTGTGCCCCAGAGGATCATCCAAACCCTCCTGCAGCTCTGGCAGCCTTGGGGCTGTGCCCACTGCCCTGGGGAGCCTGTTCAGTGCCAACCACCCTCTGGGGGAAGAACCTTGCCCTGAGATCCACCCTGAGCCTGCC